ACAGGTGTCAAACATAAGGCCCGGGGGCCAGATCCGGCCCTCCAAGTCCTTTAATCTGGCCCTCGGCTGATTTTCTACTAAAATATTTTAATTATATTTTCTATTAAAATCTTGTTAATTTTCTGCGGTGTTTATCACAGCAGCGTCTCCAGCGTCTCTGTACGTGGCCCCTCCCACCAGAGCAGCACAAATGAAGACTTGTCTCTTTCCAAACGCTCTTAAAGGACGATCGTTTTGACTGTTGACCGTGACACCCTCATCAGAAAAATGTCCAACATGAGAAAAGTGGAGCCGAGTGCAGGATTTTACAACAAAAATTGACTTATTCCTATTTACATACAAGTTCATGTTAAAACATTGTGTTGAATTGCATTTTTTTTTTTTAAGTTTCAGGTTGTTCATAATATTATCATATTTTGTAAAAGAAAGATTTCATCAATTAAAAAATATTTCTGTAATAGATTTGCGTTTCTCTGCACAAATATTTGAACTTATTGTTATTTTTGGGGTTTATATGACATGAGTTTTCTGATCCGAACCCTTTGGGATCAAAGTCGGTTGGATACGACCCCTGCACCAAAATGAGTTTGACACTCCTGCTCTACACCATCCACATGAAAGCTCAGAAAAGTGTGAGATTGTTGTCAGAAATGGTCCTTCTCTTAAATATTCAGATTCAAAAGTTAGATTGTAAATATCTGCTTGGAGTAAATAGATCTTGGACCTTAAAAAAACAAAAACAGCCCACAGCACTTCCCTTAATAAAGATACTCAATATTTGACAAGAGATTCAGAAACTATGACCAAAAATCTACAATAATACAAATGTTCAGCTTCCTAGTTATGGTAAGTTATGGTCTCTCAAACATGCTGATAAATTAAGGCTTCTGGAAAAGTGAGTATGGCCCTAAAATTTCACCAGGCCATAACTCAGGAACGACTCAAGGGATTGAGCTAAAATTTGAGATTCTTTCATTTGGTCATTTTAGACATTTTTTCAGCCAAATCTGAGATGGCTCATAGGGGAGGGCGGCTGATTTCATATGGACTGACCCCATACACATCTCGTCTCGTCATTAACACTAATTTCATAATTTTATCATTCACATTTTGAATAGAGACATTTCAATATGCCCACATGCACTGTTTATAGTTGGATGCTGTTAAGTTAGTGAGAATTTTGAACTGAGACTTGAATCTGCCCACATGTACATAGTTGGATGCTGTAAGTTATTTTCATCTTATTTCCTGGGCTGATGTAGTTAGTACCGTATTTTACCAAACTCTCCATCTCACTCCAAATCACTAAATCCATTAAATTCTTCATCCTCAGTGTCACTTCTGAGCAACTCCACGACCTCTAGAGGCAAACAAAGTGCTGCTTCCTCTTCTGTGCAGCTGTGGTCAGACTAAGAAAAGAAAAGAGCTCGTGTCAGTCATGATCTGAACGACTTCTGTCACGGCATTTTTTTGCTTTATGGTCATTTGCAAACACGGTTTTCGGTATTTTGACAAAACAAATTGCAATTTATGCTCCTTTTTATGGTTAGTGGGGATCAGATTAGACAAAAATTGTGATACTCCTGTTTTCATTTCTGGTTTAGACTTACACGGTTTCCACTCTTTCACTGACAAAATTTCAAAACTTTTCTATGAAGTTTTTCATGAACTAAAGTGAATTTTCTATGACTTTACGTCACCTACATGTGCAGAATTGATCAGACTTTTAGGGCTAAATATGAAATGTGAACTCTTTCCACTCACCTTATGGTTTGGGATTATAGTTTTTTAACATTCAAAATCCTGTCAGTGCATTTATTGTCGTCTGTTTTAAACAAAAGGCGCAGATGTTCAGAAATAATCATAAGAGTCTAATGAGAACTTCACAGAACGCTGGAGTTGTGTGAAAGAAATACTAAAATTCCATGACTTTTCCAGGATTTCTATGACTGTGAGAATCCTGGACTTAGTTTAGTCCTGGTCAAATTTGTTAAAAATATGGACACCTTGGACATTTCTTGTATAAAATTTGGACAAATCTGCAGGGACAGGGGACACAGGCTCAAAACTGTGACTGTCCCGGGTAAAAAAAAAAAAAAAAGGAACATCTGGTCACTCGGCATACAAGTTTTGCTTTGACAGTATTGAACCCTGACATCGATGGAAATAAGGGTGATTATATGTTCAAATGAAATAAAAAAGTAAATGAAAATAAGCAAAAGTTCCAATTAACGGTACAGTTTTTTTTTTGTCTGAGAGTGGCATGTTTGTATGATTTGATGGAAACAGAAAGTTTAAAACATTCACCAAGAAGATATTCAGCAGAAAGAGGCTCTCCTTTTTTAATTTTAATCTATTCTTTGGCTAAAAAGTTACACACTGTGGCTTTAAATGACCTAATGTTAAAATATAATCAAACACAGAGGCCTACAGCTCATTTCACTTGTAATACCGACTCACGACCACCAGAGGGAGACACACTCTACAAAAAGACTTAAACTCAAGTTATAAAATCCATTTTAATTTCAGAACACACAACCGAACAGTCAACGTGATTGCGCAAAAAAAAAAAAAAAAAATCAATCAATCAAACAAACAACAGCATTTTTTTTTTCAAACCACATCAAAGAGCAAAAAGGAATGTCTTCAAATAAAACTTAATATTTTCGCGCTAAATTTCACTCGAGAAACGGTGAAGCCCTTTCCGACATTGCACGGGATGTTTCGTGGTTGCTATGGAAACAGGACGACTATAACAAAACGACATAATGTTGATTAAACGTAAGTGAACAGATTAAATGTAGGTGTAGATTTGCATTTCAGTCACGTTGGAAGAAAACGTCGTAGTCCTTTTTTTTTTGTTTTTGTTTTTTAAATAAAGCTTCACATGTTTTTAAGACTTTTAAGAATGAACCAAGCAAAAAAAAACAACACAAAAAACAGAAAAGTGTAGTTAAATATGACTGGTTACATTGATTTTTTTTGTTAAAGAGAGGGTATTTTACTTCTGTGGGCTCGTTGCTCTGCCCGAAATGTTCCACGGTGTGACTTTAAACAGCTCTACTTGACATTTATTCGATTACAGGCGCTTTTATAGCTCAAAAGTGACGGACCCTCCACCGGAAAAGTTACACAATGCACCTTTAAATCACTACACGATCCGCGTGCGTGAAACTACCTCACATCGCGTCAGGTTTGTGAAGTTGTAGTGTACAGTTTTGTATATTTATGGAGGATTTTCGCATGGGTGAGCGCAAAGTGAGCTCAAATACGACCCGGGACAGATCGCTAAATGACTCAAACACGCTCAGAAGACGTTTACAAACTCTTCGGGCGTGTTTTTGACGAGGAAATGATGTTATAACGCGGTAGAAAGCTAAAAAAATACCCCCTCTTTAAGTGACAGAAGTACGTATAATCTCTCTTCATAAATTTAATTCGTATTTATTCTCAAAACAAACTATGAAACAGACATTTTCCCAGACGCAGGACAAAAGAATCACTCGAAAACACTCACTAGCGCCCCTTAGAGGAAAATAGACTCTTAACAGCTAAAAATATATTTGATTTTTAAGCGTACAGTAACACAACCCTCACCCAATGATTGATATGAAAAACTTCTATATTCTAGTATCTGATCTACAAAATAGCAACGCCCTTTTTTAAAAATAGTTGGTTTCGTCTAGAGCAGGACAGAGATACATTCAGATCCGATATGCAGAGGGGCGCAGTGCCGGGGGGGCGAAGGCAGGGGTCAGTATCGCGTCTGGTACTCGTGGTGCCAGCGGTTGAAGTCGTTGTAGAAGAGGACGATGCTGCCGGACGCCATGCCCGTGATGATGCACCTGAACGAGACACACACAGGTAAAAGTCTGGACACGCCCGCTCAATCAAAGGGTCTTTTTCTTTATGTTTATTACTTAAAACATTTTATAAACACACGGAGGACATCAAATATAATAAACCAAATATATGGAATTATGTAGTAAAGAAGTACTTATTTTAGTTATTTTAATTTTATTTTTTGTTTACGTTCCATGTGTCATAGCAATAGTCTGCAAATATACAATAAAAAAAAAAAAAAAACTAGTACCAGTAAAATATAATGTGAAAATGTTAAATTAAAAAAATAAATTAATAATAATAATAATAATAATAATAATAATAATAATAATAAATCAGTTTACAAAATTTGTCTGCTACATTTAAGGGAGTCGACTAAGGGGGATAAAAGATCAATTGTTAAGTCATTAAAAAACATGTAAAAAAAACCAAAAAAAACTAAAATGTGTCTGCTGCATTAGAGGGAGTGGACTATGGTGATAAAATATAAATTGTTAAGTCATTCATATTAATATAATGTTATAAATGCAAAGATATTTAGAGCATTTTAATATAAAACAAGGTTATTTAATTTTGTTTTGCTTCATAATTAAATAAATCTTATATCATGGGTCCCTAACCACAGATTCTTTGCCCAAAATGAGACCATGGACCATTGAGTTCTATCTAAGTTTTGACTTTTTTATAGTCTACCACCATATTTTATGTGTGTTACTCTGAAACTATAAAGCAAATTAACCTGGTAAACAGCAGGCCGCTGAAAATTGTATGTTTATTACCGGTTCTTGTGAGAAAAAAGGCAAAAGAAGAAATTCAATTTGTCGACTGGACAAAATCATTCAGGGCCATGATTATGTTAATATGACTCCACAGTCAGTGCAGCTCCATAGGCCGAGCTACAAACAGAAACTGTAAACAAGTAGATGTGTTAGTTTCAGAGTAGTTTCAGTGTAGTTAGCTCCTCCTTCAGGCGGATATAAGGCAGAGTCCATCCAGCGTCTCACCAGAACTGAAGAAGCAGCTTGGATGAGCTGAGAAACGTATTCGCAGCTCATATAAATAAACTTTTGTCCAGGTGACAAATTGAATTTCTCCTTTTGTCATGGATTCTACCTGGACGACTGAGGGATATTTGATTTCCTCCATATGCATATAAAATGAAGAAGGTAGTAAACAAAGACAAACAACATTAAATGAGAGTGTCTCTAGCCTTTTGCCTGGAGGTGTACATGGTGTTGTTGATGTGGAGTTGTTGTGATGTTGGTGTGATGTTGGTGTCGCGTTGGTGTTGGTGTGGTGTTATTGTGGTGTTGGTGTTGTTGTGGTGTTGTTGTGGTGTTGTTGTGGTATTGTTGCTGGTGTTGGTGTTGTGGTGTTGATGTTGTTGTAGGTGGTGTTGTGGTGTTTTTGTGCTATTGTGGTGTTTGTGTCGCTTCGTTGTGTGTGTTGTTGTGATGTTGGTGTGTTGTTGTTGTTGTTGTTGTGATGTTGTTGTGTTGTGTTGTGGTGTTGTTGTGTTGTTGTGTGTGTGTGTGGTGTTGTGTTGTTGTTGTTTGTTGTTGTTGTTGTGATGTTGTTGTTGTGTGTTGTTGTGTGTTGTTGTTGTGTTGTTGTTGTGTGTTGTTGTGTGTGTGTTGTTGTGTGTGTTGTTGTGATGTTGTGTGTGTTGTTGTTGTTGTGATGTTGTTTGTTGTGATGTTGTTGTGTGGTGTTGGTGTTGTTGTGATGTTGCTGTGGTGTCCGTTACCTTTGGTCGTGGGACATGGCCATGGAGCGGATGCCGGCGTCGCAGGCCGGGTACGTGAACAGCTGTTTGAGGTTGTGGAGCTGCCACACGGACACCACCCCCCCGTCTCCTCCCATCAGCAGGTACTGCCCATCCCGACTCAACAACATCGCCTACACAACACAAAAACAAACAAAAACACACAAAAACACACAAGAGCAGATTAAAATGTGTATTAAAGGTTCTTACAATTCTCTAATTTTGACTTTATATGTGTGAAAAAACCTGCTGTAAATACAAATGATAGTTTTACACAAATCAAGAAGCAATTTTTGAAAAAAAAGTTGGAAAATCTGTTGAAAATTATTGGAAGGTAAGAGAGAGTTAAGAGTTTTATACTGAGAACTTAATTATGTACAACAATTTATTTGAAGCCAAAACCTGGGAAATAAAAATACATTTTCTCGTAAATTCTTAATATAATTATCTTAAAGGTGCACTGTGTAACTTTTCTGGTGGAGGGTCCATCAAATTCTTTTCTCTGTTATTGTTTTGTCTGGAAAGTTTCACAGTATGGCATTAAACCTTTCTATCTTCATGGAGAATAAACCAAACCCGCTCAGAGTCAGAATGCTGATATTTCTTCGTATTTTTGAGTTATAAAACCACCTGTAATTGAATAAAGATGAAGTAGAGCTGTTTAAAGTCATGCTGTGGAACTTTACAGACAGAGCAATGTCGTATCCATAGAAACAAGCAGGTGACGATCCCTTAACCAAAAAGTTACACAGTGCAGCTTGAACTGTGTTTTAGTAAAATGAGTATCACAATTGCCACGTTTACATGAGAGATTTAATTCCAAACAAAAATAATTTAATTCTGAATAAAAAAATAAATTCTGCTTTAAAAACACCATGTAAACACTTAATTCCTAATGAAAATGATTATTTGGAATTAAACTTAATTCCGAAGTAAGTGGGTGGTTTATTCCGATTTTAAAGCCGAATTAATTTATTCTTCGTTCATGTAAATGTTTATTCTTCTTAAAAATAATCCCAGTCGTTCAGTTCACGCTCGTTGTGTCGCCCTTCGATCCGGCTCCACCAGTCGTGTCTTCGGACTTTCCTCCACGTCTCTTTGGATTTGTGAGCAGGATGTGGGAGAGGGCAGAATTAAAAACGTCATACAAACGTGGCCAATGACATGTAGATGAAGAAAACTTGGCGATTTTCAAATTTTTCCTAGATTTTGTCAGACTTACGAAAGTGAACAGAGCCCGCCAAAAGTCGTCACCGCATGTTTTCAAAATGCGCAATTATCATCGGTACGGCCGCGGGAAAAGTTTGGATCGTGTTTGTGTCCGTGGCGTAACGACAAACCGAGATGACAGAAAAGCTGGTAGAAGCTGAAGTGTTTGTTTTCTTCCGGTCGACGTAAATACGTTTGTGTCTCTGTCCAACCAGAACCTTCCCGAGTGGAATTAAATAAAGGCGATTTAACGAGTTTTCCATGTAAACCTCAATTTGGAATGATTATTTCCATGTAAACTTGAAGGAAAATAACTATTTAATTCAGAACATTAATTCAGAATTTAAAAAACGTAACGTAAACGTGGCCAGTGAATTGTTGCCTTTCACATTCGCCTTGAAACGAGCCTAAGTGAGCGGGGAACTTTTTTCCTGTGATTAATTCTCTGTGTAAAATAATCCCGTAAAAGGCGACAGGGCTGCCCCACGAGCCCCGAAAACTTCCTGAACACGAGCGCTAACAAAGATTTACTCTGCTCATCTGCCTCTGGCCCGGGGGGAGAGGAGGAGGAGGAGGGGGAGGAGGGTCGTACACAAATGACACAACAGGAGCTGAAATATGAGAGTTCGACGGCATCAATCAGACCGAAGAGACCAGACGAGAGCAGAGCAGAGCCCGGACCACGGACAGGCCGCCGCTCTAATGTGAGGATCTACTCTGGGTTTATGACGGAGGGAGACCGCCTGCAGAGATCCAACACAGACTGGAAACATGTGTGCGCTGGTACATGTGTGCTTCTCAAACTGGGGTGTGCGCACGGACATGCTGTAAGGGTGTTTTCAATTGTTAAAAATGAATGTTTTTATGTTTTGTGGTGTTTTAATTTTGTTTAGTATTGCCTTGTTTTACAAAGAAGTAGATTTTTTTAATACTACCTGACATAACAGGTTTTTATTATAGTAGTGAGTTGGCAGAGGCGGCGCCACCATCAGGTAAACGCAGGCAGCTGTTTAGGGCCCCCAGTGCCACTAATGGCCGAGGCCTCAGAGCAATTCGATTTTCTCTCAATATGACATTAAATGAAAATATTTTACTTTTAAACAATAATCATAAGAAAAAAAATAATAATCACATGCAATAGATGTAAACACAAATGTAATTGTACAAGCAAAAGGAATAAAACTACTTTCAGTTCTGGTTCTGGTTCTGGTCTAGAAGGCGACTGAACTAATAAGACAAGTTTCCAATCCACCATAATTCAAGATTTTTTTCCAAGTGTTTACATTTGGATTGGACAAAAATATTTACATGTTAGTGAGTTACAGTTCCTAGTCTCCATGTCTGGAGATCCGGTCGGCGAGGCCCCCGCCATCGACTTCTACCCAGATCTCTCTGCACCGGTCCCACATGGATCCTCCCACAGGTGATGGGCCCACGTGAGGACGGCCCCATGTCGCTCCTTTGGGCTGAGCCCGGCCGGGCCCCGTGGGGGAAGGCCCAGTCACCAGGTGCTCGCTGGCGAACACCCAACCCAGGCCTGGCTCCAGGGTGGGGCCCGGTAACGCCGATCCAGGCGACGCCGCTGACCTCTGATTGTAACTCATCATATGAGGCTTCTGAACTGCTCTTTGTCTGACCCGTCCCCCAGGTCCTGTTTGCCTTGGGTGACCCTACCAGGGGCATGAAGCCCTCGACAACATAGCTCTCGGTATCATTCGGGCACTCAAACCCCTCCACCACGATAAGGTGGCGGTTCAGGGAGTTCCAAAAAGCAGTACCAGAATGTTAACAGAAATATTACATCCAATAAATACAAAAATATGAGGCCAGAGGGGCTGGGGGGACCGGTCAAAGGGGCGTAGCGGGCCGGAGTCGGCCCAGGGGCCATAGTTTGATGACCCCTGGTGTACGACGTTGTGGCAATTTTTGTCTCGTACACTTTTTACAATTCGCGGATCGTTATATTACTGACAACTTTGCAGAACAATGTTTAAAATACTGAAACCTTTTTTGGTTAAAGCTGCTCTAACTTCAGTACTTTTTGTTATTTTAATTCTGTTGGGGGTAAAAAGCTTTTCCAAAAAATCTTGAAAACATATAAAAAAATTATTATACATATAAAAAAATATCATAAACCGAACAGAGCAGCATCCAACATGGCCGCGGTCAGGTCCAGTGTTGTGATGTGTGTGCTGTAGGTCTCATCACTCACGACGACAGGAACCGACGAGGCCAACGAGAGCACGGAAAACCAGCTACAACTCGGCTCTCTTCACTTAAGGAAACATGGAAAGTCCTAAATGACCAAATTACACCATATTTCCAAGTAGAAGTGAGTAAAAGAGTTTGACAGTGGACACGCCGGTGTTTAAGAGCGAGAAAATGGACTCAAATTATAGCCTGACACAGTGAGATTACAGCACAAGTTTAAATCATTTTGACTTTTTAATCTGCTCTTTTTGAAGCGTTTTGAAGTTATATTCTTCTAAAATTATTTTATTAAACGATATGCAAGTGTTAACATTTTCATATCTTAAAACGCACATTCACGGTACTTTTACATAACAAATTTGTGAGCTCTGTGGGTGTTTAGAAAGAATTTCCACTGCCAGCTCAGCAGCCTACATCATCAGAGGTATAATACTCCCTACAACTTATTTTCTTCATTATTTGTCTCCAAAACCAAAATGAAAAAACAGATAACGATTCAGTTTTGTCAGTTTTTGATTTTGTGTTTAAATGAAAAACTGAAAAAAGGGATAACGACCGTTTCCTGTTTACGTGACTTAAACTGAGATACTGGACTTAAACCAGGACTAAACCAGGACTAAACCAGGACTAAACCAGGACTGAACCGTTTTCAGTCCTCATCCTGTTCCCAGTCTCAGTCCTGGTTTCTGTCCCGGTCTGGACCCAGTCTTGGTGCCAGTCTCAGTCCCAGTCTCGGTCCTGGTCTTAGTCCCGGTCTGGTCCAAGTCTCAGTTCTGGTCTCAGTCCCAGTCTCCAGTCTCGGTCCCGGTCAGACTCCCAGTCAGAGTCCCGGTCTGGTCCCGGTCTCAGTCCCAGTCTCGGTCCCGGTCTCAGTCCTAACCCTGTTCCCATTCTCTGTCCTGGTCTAAGTCCCGGTCCGGTTTCCAGTCATGGTCCTGGTCTCGGTCCCGGTCTAAGTCCAGGTCTAGGCCCCGGTCTCAGTCCCGGTCTGGTCCCGGTCTCAGTCTTGGTCCTGTTCCCAGTCTCAATCCTGGTCTCAGTAATTGTCTAAGTCCTGATCTCAGTCCCGGGCTCAGTGCCAGTCTCAGTTCCCACTCTTGGTCTCAGTCCCACTCTTGGTCTCAGTCCTTGTCTAAGTCCTGATCTCAGTCCCAGCCTGGTTCCGGTCTGGTCCCGGACCTGGTTCAGTCCTGGCTCAGCCCAGCCTCCAGAAGTCCAAGTCACGGAAACGGGAAACGTCCATTATCCGTTTTTTCCATTTTTCATTTAAACGCAAAATCAAAAACTGAAAAAAAAAAAAAAAACGAACCATTGTCTGTTTTTTCATTTTGGTTTTTGGAGACAAATAATGAAGAAAACAGTTACTTTTTCATTTTCATATTTTTAGTTTTACATTGAAAAACAAATGAACGAACGACACACCCGGACCTTTTCACGACATCACAAATCTACGGCGTAAATAATCACGAAAACAAAGCCGAAAAATACATGAAAAACTGCGTCCAAACGTGTACGTGTAGATCCTGATTACAAAAACTTCAAACCCTGTAAATCTGCTCCGGTACAGTCCTCGTGACCTGGACTCTCTCGGCGGGGGTCCTGGATTATAAATCACACCACGACCGCTGCAAACTCACACAAAAATGTCCCGCTTCTCTGTGGGAAACAAGATGGCCGCGCCGACTCCGGTGTCTCCGAGACGACTGGAGCAGGA